GTTACCCGTGAAGATTGTTGGGTTTTGTTCTCAGTAGATGCGCTATAAGAGTTGGGACCTTGGGCAGCAGTTGGAGGTAGATAAATCGGAGAGTTGACGATCCGCTAGCAAGGCCAAAAATAACTTAAAAATGGCAATTCTCATTGATGGTGGGTATTATTATTGCAACAATTAAGTTTGGGTCGGGTGCTTGTGGCTGGGGTTGTTTTGGCGTGAAGAGAAAGGAGAGAGATGTACATAGAGTCATGTTAGCATTTGGAATTCAAAGGATAATTTAGGTATTCCACATTTAAAAACTAGGACAGCCTGTGCCAATAGCCATCCCTTTTTTTTTTTTTGGTCCGGCCCCTCTATAAATTGTTGAATTATGAATCAATTTCGAAGTCACCACTTGTAATCACTTGTACGCATTTAAGCAAAATAGTAACCCTTTTCTTTAAATTTTAATCCCTCTCTTTCTGTTCTAGTATTTTTTTTTTTTTTTTTTTGGGTTCAAGTGCATGTCATTTTAAGAAGATGAAATGGGTAAATAAAGGATTGAAAAGAAAAATGAAAGAAATTCTTAATTAAATGATAAAAAATTTAATTTTAATTGATACATAATAGTTTGGGCATTAATTTCATGAATAAAAAGAATTAAAATAAAAGAAATCCAAAAAAATGCAGAGAATATTAAAAAAAAAAAAAAAGAGAGTAAGAATGAAATAAATTAAAGTGATTGACTGGACAAACATATATAGAGGAAGGTCAATGGCTTTCATAGAGCCTTACCTTCTTGTCCGCTGTTCATAAAAGGGCAGAAATAGAACACCTTGTTTTAGACCAACCTTATCCTGAAATAAGATAAGATGGTCGACGTGTTCCTTTGCAAAACAGAGGAAACCAAAATATTAATAACATTAATTAATGTTTAAATGTATAATCATAGTTGGATCGGGAAAGCTGTGGCTGATTTTTTTCCCTTTCTTTTTGGTCACTAAGATGCCACGTCCAAGCTAGAATTGCGTGCATTGACCGCCGAATGCAAATTATTATGTTAAGGTCCAAAGCTGAATTTAAAATCGTATCCTATTGGTCTCGTGTGGTTGCATCATTGATTATGTAGGAAACGTTGTTGATTGCTTGACTCTTCAGGCAAAAGGTGGTGTGAAAATATTTTAAAGTTCTTTTCAATTAAAAAAAATAGTATTATACTACTATCTTAAAAGAAAAGAATAAAATTTAAAAGCAAGCTAGCATCGTTTTTTATATAATTAGCACCAAGCATCAATTTGATATTATATGATATAGCACTTTAAATAGCGCGAATCTTAATTATATGATTTGGCTGCAAATCACAATCCAAACAGAAGATTATTCAATATATAGAATTAAGGGTGATTATGAGGAAGGCCCATGGATGTTTATGACTTTATTGGCGTATTAAAAAAAAAAATTGCAAGTTGCAAATTCTACTTGTCGCAAAAGTCAATTGATTATTTATTGGCTATTGGTGACTTTGGTGTAAAGGTTACTTTTTTTTTTAATGTTTTTCAATTTAATAGTAAATGTATCTTGTATCACTTTTTACAAGCTTTTTTATTATTAAATTTTAAATAAAACATCCACACTCGATGTATTCACAATAAAATAATTTATTTACAATTTCTTCTAAAATTCGAACATTAGATGGATATATAAATACATTTGCAATTCCACGAGTAGTCGAGGGCATTAGCTTCTTATTCGGAATTTTGCATGCAACAAACGTGTTCTCCATATTAGTATTAACTATGCTGTCCTCTTCATCATCAAAATTTTTCTTTATAATAATACAGTCCCACCTCATCAATTACACCAATTTAAAGTTTATTGTGTGTTTGAAAATGGCTGGACCTTGATTAAGATGGAATGGTTTGGACATTTTTTTTTTTTTTTTTGGTAGACCAAGAACACGCGTCCTTGCCTATCACCATCGTCAAGGAGAAAGAAACGAAAAATGTTCCTTCCACGCGCGAGCATATGCATATTTCATGAAAGACAAGCGGTAAACCAAACATTATAGATGACTTCAGCCTGAATTATGAGACAAAGATGTCTCATCAAAACGAAACCATTGTTGTTACTGCTGTGATTCGTGAGATCCTTTTACTAATTAATCAAACTTAATTAACTATAAATTATCAGGTTGCTTTCGGTTGCCGGGCTTGACTTTTGCTGCTATATATTGTATTGACAAAGACTTCCAATTAATATAATTTTTACTACCAAAAATTTAAAATGTGCAAACTAATTATTTACTGAAACGTTAATCTCAACAAACGATCTAAGTTGAAATAAATCCAATCGGTACGAAAAAATTCTGCTTTAGACAATCGGATAACATCTCTCCTGAGCTAAAAAGATCCTAAATTCAACTTCAAACTTTGGCAAAAATGGTTTTGTCCAATATAGACGAATTGGTTCGACCTATTTAGCAAGGCAAATTAATATGATTAGAAATGTAAATATACTCCATCTGAATGCCTTAAAAAAAAAAAAAATCAAATCATAAGAAAAGTCGTTCGTACAGAGAAAAAAAGAACTATTGTGTTTTTATGTAGCGAGTTCAATGTTGAATATATTTTTATATTATGAAATAAATAGATTATGTTTTTACATTTTAATGGGTTTTTAATTTTTAATTTGATGAATATTTTTATCTTAATTATTAGAAAAAATCACGTGATTTGTTTATGGTTTTTTTTTTCAAAAATACCCTTAGAAAAACGAAAAACCATGACTGCACATGTTTAATTAACGGCATTTTTGAAAAAAATAATAATAATGTACAAGTTACATAACTTTTTTTGAGGATTTGATCGAAAATTTTACTTAAAAAATACATTAAAAAATATATTTAAAATAGCAAAACATAATTAATTAATTAATTTTAAAATATAGAAAAAAATTAGGTGGTACAGACACTCAATTATTTATACAAGGACAGCTCAATTATTTATCCAAGGACAGCTCAATTGTTACGCCTTGTATACAACCAAACCTGAACCAAGCAGTCAAGTCAATAAGTAGCAAAGATTGGGTCCAAGAAGAAAGAGAGAGACACTTGGTTGAGTTCAAAAGGGCCCAACAAAGCTAAGCCGTAGATAAGGCCACCTGTCTACAAGTCTGCCTGAATATTTAGGGTACCACATTTCTTTCTTTAAAATATGCCTACAGGTAAGAGGTTGATGCGTCACAGAGTTGCCTACAGGCATACATGTGATTATTAAGCGATATGTCTCCTCTAGTCTACTCTAATTACCTAAAATGAAAACTCTTGAAATTGTGTTAGTTGTTACCTTTCTCCACAAAGAATCAAAAATTGTTATGCCTCAATTTCTACCTATCATATTGCTACCTACTTTGCTTTGCAAATGCCACGCAATGCTACAATCAGTAAGTACTCATCTGCAAGAATTCGGAACTATTTTACTTCCCACATGTTTATTTTGCTATTCAAAGTAGGCACCGTAGTTAACACTACAAGAAAACTGTCAAATAAAAATTAGCAACGAATAGTCCACTGTCTCTATTTTGTGACAAAATTGCGACAAACATGTTTTAAAACGGAATTGCAACGAAATTGCAAAGAAATATTAGCGATAGATAGAGTTTTGTAGCTAAATAGCCTCAGAAAAAAAGTGCTTGCACCAGAGACGGAATCGCAATGGATTCGTGAGGGTAATTAGAGACAAAAAAATCAATTTTGTCATTAATTCTCTTTTCTGAATAAATTAGCGATGGAAACATAAATCCTTTACTACTTAGCGATGGATTGACGACGAAATTAAATACTCCTTTCCCGATTATCTATTTTGACTCAATTCTGAAAAAATCAAAAAATAAAATGATGGATTTAAATTTATTTTAAAAACAGACCTAAAATCTATTGTCACTTAATAACAACTTAACGTTGAAATTTAATATTTCGTTGATGGCTAACAACTTTGTTCCATTTTTGAAAAAGTCAAAATATAAAACAATCGATTTAATTAAATCGAATATTAACGACTGATACTTAAATTTCTCAAACAAACAACATAGTTGAACTTTGTTGTTATAGATCGATGTATTTTTTCAATTATACTAAGATCCTCCATCTTTTCACCATGGATCTGCAACTACAACTTATTTGCAATTGCCATTGTTCTGGAGAAACAATCTACAACTGATTCTCCCTTTTTCATTTGCACAGTCTGGAACTCGACATGAAAATTTTGTAGCCGTTGCGTCTTCGCCCTTGCATGCCATTGATACTTCTTTTTCATAACATCTCAAATTTGTTTGGAAGTGCCTTTGTGAAGAATTGTTTCCAAGATGGAGCAATCAATAGCAGGAAATAACAGGAAGTTTTCCACAATCATAATGCACAAGACTAGCAATCCTACCAAAAAAATACTTATAATATACTCTATACCTCAAAAATTTCATCCACCATTTTGCTCCTCCTTGCTGTATCCACCTAGATAAAAACGACCCTGTGACTAGCCAAACGGCACGCCACCTCCTTTCCTTGACATAATCATCTATGGCTTTTGCAACATCTTTTGGAATGATCAACGCTCCATTTTCTATAACTGAAATGGCAATACGTCTGCCCAATACCACAACATCTTCTAGTGATGAACCGCCACCTTATCCCAGGTCAGGAGTCATGGGGTGCATAGCATCACCAGCTACTGTGATATTTCCCTCATTAAAATTTCCAAATATGATGCCTATGAAGGCCTAAACATCAATGGTGTCCAAGTTAATGTTAAAAGATCGATATGCTGGACCACGTTTAGATATACCGACGGGAATTTTTCTACATACTTATCAAGTACTTCTCTTTGTATTTATTCTGGCTCTGCTGTCATATTTTCCCCTAAAATGAAAATAAATTTTCTCCTGAAATGAAAATAAAGTTAATAAATTTTCCATCAATTATCTGACATGAACCAACATTTGTGTTTGCAAAAATGAGAAATAAAATAGGGTTAAGAGTGCTGATCGTTGCAGACTAAAAACCAGTAAAGTTCCCTATCGTTTAGAGGAATAAAACCAGCCCTTTTTCCCTCATCCACAAACTGCTGAACTTCTTGCTTAAATCCATGGCCTTGGGGAAAAATTGCTAAAACTCGAACCCCTGATCGCCCCGAATGGACCAGTTCGGGTAGTCCTAGCCAACGTGCCACTACCGAGTGCACCCCGTCGCAGCGTATAAGAACCTTAGATTTGATTGTTGTTTCGTCTTCCAAATTTACAACAACAATGGAAGCACTACCTCCACTTTCTTGATTTTCAATGGCATCAATCTTGGAAGAAATCCGAATTGAGTCAGTTGGTAACTCCTCTGCCAGAGCCTCTAACAATGTTTTACGATGAATTGTCCTAATTCCTTGTCCACTGTTCCTATTTCACACAAAATAAGGAATTAATTCACACACAACATTATGTCTTACGATACCTTTTCGACATGCACATGTTTTACTAAGATTCAAAAAGTTAGATTGCCCTTTGTGGGTCACAATGTTGAGGACTTGTCAAACATCTCCAGTACTAACATTGGTTACATATCCCCTAAATCATGAGGGAAAAGAAGTACAAAAGAAATTAATTAATCATCCATGATATAATATTTAAAATTCAAATTCAAGAGCAGTAACCAAAAGAATAGAATTAATATGCAGAAATGAACAATGTATTACTTCAAAGAAGGAGCATAAATGGGGTTGAGCTTGTGAGAAACACCAAGAGCATCAAGGGCAAGCCAAGCATTCGGAAAGAGGGTTAAGGCTGCACCTGTAGCTCTCAGCTTCTGTGATCTCTCTAATACCAAAGCTTGAACCATTACTCTTTTCAAAGCCATTTTTGTTGCCAACCCTGCAATTCCTGCTCCAACTATCACTACATCCTCCACAATTTCCATCTCTCCCTCTCTTTTTGTGTATTTATGTGTATTTATGTTGCCTTCTATAGTGTACTTGACTTCATCTACTTGTAATTTATAACCCCATTTGCTTGGACATCAAGTTTGACTTTGACCACATGGATCCACGGCTAGGGATGACAATGGGCAAGGTACAAAATGAGAAACCTACCCAAGTCGTCTATTAATTATTTTTTTAAAATACCTTAATGGTTAATGAGCTAAATATGGATAAAATAGTATTACCCATTTATGTTAATGGATAATTTATTTATGAATATGTGTACTCTCTTTTTACTTTATTAATAATCATCTTTTACCCATTAACATAAAAAGTACCAAGACACAAAATTTTAAAATAGACAAAAAAAAAAGAGGAGGAAAAATGTATGTAATTAATCATTCAGATGGTTTCATTGATATTATTATTATTTATTTATTAAAAAAAGTATTTTTAAGACATTTATGTAATTAACTACAGTTTCATTGATATTATTATTATTATTATTTATCATTCGAGTTTAACATTTATTCAAACAATCACACACACAATTTGACTAGTGAATCTCTCTATTTTATTATTATAATTATAATTTATGAATTATTCTTTACAAATCTCATTATTAATATTACTCTTAACATGGATTAATAGCCTTTTTTTTTTTTATTATTGGTCAAGTCAATTTAAACATTATCATGGATAATATTTATTCGCAACTCAATAATACTATAATAATAATGATATAATGATATAATTTTGAACATTAGATGGATACATAAATACATTAATTTGTTGTAATTAAACTTCAGGATTCTAATTAGCTTAATTTCATTCACCACGGTAATTCATAATAAGTTTTCTGAGTTTATATAAAGGTACATTTGCATGTTCAAAGTTTTAAGTTCAATTAATTACCTTAGAAGAATGAGACGGGAGTACAATTCCACGAGTAGTTAAGGCTATTAACTCTTGTTATTCGGAATTAGTATTAACTATGCTGTCCCCTTCATCATCAAAGTTTTCTTTATAATATTACAGTCCCACCTCATTAATTAGACCAACTTAAAGTTTATTGTTTGTTTGAAAATGGTTGGACCTTGATCAAGATGGAATGGTAAGAACATTTTTTATTTGGTAGACCAAGAACACGTACACGTCCTTGCCTATCACCATTATCAAGAAGCAAGAAATGAAAAATGTTCCTTCCACGAGAAATCACGAGCACCTACATATTTCAAGAAAGACAGGCGGAAAACATTATAGATGACTTTGGCATGAATTATGAGACAAAGATGTCTCAACAAAACGAAACCATTGTTGTTACCGCTATGATTCGTGAGACCCTTTTACCAATTAATCAAACTTAATTAACTATAAATTATCAGATTGCTTTCGATCGGTTGTTGGCCTTGACTTTTGCTGCTATATATCGTATTGACAAAGCCTTCCAATTAATATAATTTTTACTAACAAAAATTTTAAAATGTGCAAACTAATTATTTACTGAAACGTGTATCTCTACAAACTCAAAGTTGAAATAAATCCAATTAGTACAAAAAAATTCTGCTTCAGACAATCTTATAACATCTCTCCTGAACTAAAAAAAAAAAAAAATTCAACTTCAAAATTTGGCAAAAAATGTTTTGTCCAACATAGACGAATTGGTTCGACCTATTTAGCAAGGCAAATCAAAATGATTAGAAATGTAAAATATACTCCATCTGAATGCTTTAAAATAAAAATCAAGTCATAAGAAAAGTAGTCTGTATACAGAAAAAAAATGAACTAGTGTGTTTTTATACAATGAGGTCAATGTTCAATATATTTTTGTATTTTAAAATAAATAAATTATATCTTTGTATTTTAAGGGAGTTTTTAATTTATTATTTTAGTGAATTTTTTTGACTCAATCATTAGAAAAAGTCACGTGACTTACATATAATAATAATTTTTTTTTTCAAAAATACTCTTAGAAAAACAAAAACAAAAAACATGACTGCACATGCTTAACTAAGGGCATTTTTGGGGGGAAAAAATTAATCATGTATAAGTTATGAATTTTTTATTTTTTTATTTATAATTTTGATAAAAAAATTCACCTAAAAAATACATTGAAAAATTATTTAAAATACGAATGCATAATTAAGTAATTTTAAAATATAGAAACAAATTAGGTTGTACAGGGACTCCATTGTACCATACAAGGACAGCTCAATTATTACCCCTCGTATACAACCAAATTTGAATCAAGCAATCAAGTCAATAAGTAGAGACACCGCATTTCTTCTGCACAACCTTAACTGATTGGGCCGAAGAAGAAAGAGCGAGACGCCACCTGTCTACGAGTCTGCCTGCATATTTAGGGTAACACATTTCTTTCTTTAAAATATGCCCACAGGTAAGCGGTTGATGCCTCACAGAGTTGCCTACAGGCAGGCATCCATGCGATGATGAAGCGATATGTCTCCTCTTAATTAGTCTACCCTAATTACCTAAAATGAAAACTCTTGAAATTGTGTTAGTTGTTACCTTTCTTCACAAAGAATCAAGAAGGAAGCTAGAGAAAACTTGTTTTTATGTCTCAATTTCTACCGATCATACAGCTACCTACTTTGCTTTGCAAATGCCACGCAATGCTACAATCAGTAAGTACTCATCTGCAAGAATTCTGATTTATTTTACTTCCAAAATGTTTATTCTGCTATTCAAAGCAGGCATCATAACTAAAAGGTTAAGACGTCTGCCTTCTTTATGCTTCATATATGTGTTTCATCATTCAAGCACATGCGTAGGTAGCCTGGAAATTATCACTTGTCATGAAACTGCAATTAGTACCTTAGATGTATATGTACGAACTGTGTGCACTAAAACAGTTCAAATATGACGCCTCTGCATCTTTTTATCCCACCCTTTGAGCCAAGCATGTGCATCTTATACTGCCTTCTACTTCCTTTCATAGTTTCATGTATGAATTAAAAAAATAAAAAAAAATAAAACTCCCTGCACTGTTGCACTGAATCTGAAATTTGAAAAACCATTTCATTGATGAAATGAAATAATCACGAAAGAGTATGGATTAGATATGCAGGCAACCGGATGGCAGAGATTAGAGACGGGAGGAATAGGAAGAACAATTGGAGTCCTTGAACTTGTTTTTCAAGATTAATCATCATGGATTTTTATTATCACAAGATTTATATATACTTCGTGTATTTTTGAATATTTCCATGAATTTTGAGTCCAAGAAATCATGCAAATATATATATATATATATATGAAAGTCATGCATCTATTCAAAGAAAATCCAATTTTCCTCATGTTTCCAAATGAATGTCTAGTGCAGAGCTCCTCAAATTCATTTACTCTTACAATGAATGGCAACAAGAGGCCAGAATAGAACATTGTGCATCAGGCCTTAATAGAATGCGGCGAATGACGAAAAATATGCTTTTGATTAACGGGAAATGCTTGGCAACAGAGTCAAGGTGCTTAGGAGTTTGGAGGAAACTTATTGCACATCAGCACAAATAAGAGAAGAGAAGAGAAGAAGAAACAGTGGAAATGCAACTTGGCAGCAAGATAATTAAAATAAAATCGAGGCTAGTGCATGCATGTGAGATCAAAGAGGTAGTAACTACTAGATTGTCTGCCGTTATGGCCACCTCCAGCGGTAAGTTGTCACACAACATGCAGTGCTGCCTTGCTATTTAAGCAAATGCAGTGTTGTTTGTCGTGGAGGATGAGCTGAAGGCACCCTGTCATCCTGTTGTAATAAGTTTCACCACTATTCTTCATTGCTACAATCTGCAAGTAATACAATCAACCCAAAAAAATCCAACATTACTGAAAGAGCTCATGCAAATATGCTACTTGAGTCCAAGAGTGACTTTCTGGATGATACACTCTTTACCTGTTTCTCCAGCAGCTGGTTTTCTTCTTTCAGCATCTTTTCCTGTTGAGAGCAAAAGACATTCTTCAGCAGAATTAAAGGTACCTAATTCTGTTTTCCCAAATAAATACAAAAAAGAATGAAGACGTCTGATTCTGAAATTACTTCATTCACGTTGAATTGCACACAAGCATACTGCACCTGAGCACACGGCACCAAAGAACACAAAGAAAGAGCAAAAAGCAGGCATGATTTTTTTTTTCCTATTCGTAGTGTGCTTTGTATTCATAAATTACCGGCTGCCCTTTTTGCCTTTACTTTTTTTTTTTTTTTAACTTGATTGGTTTTATCTGATGATGTTCCTCAAATAAGAATGCTGCAGAACATCACAGTTACTCGACCATGCAATAATCAGACAATACTGGTAGAACATACGCGCAAACTAGACCATCTCACCATAACGATATACGAATCTTCCATAATAAAGTGTAAGGATTCAAAGTATTTAGCAAGAGAGTTTTCAGTCAAAAGTTTCTCATACTTGGAACTTGCATGATAAGCGAGCCTTGTTTTTTATGTCAACTTTGGTATTGACATCCCTAGGCAACAGTCTTTAACAGACATTAGCAAAGACTTGCAAACTGATTATGCCCAAAATGAACAGGGCTAGTTTATTTACCAGTTTATCAACCTAATGGGGCATGTAGCTCATTTTAGATGGCCTTCAAGTCCGACTAGCATGTCGATCCCAGACATCGATTGGATGAAGATAAAATGATCGGACCAGATCTATTCTACTAGTTTGCTAAGGAGCATTTTCGATTTCTTTTTAATTTACTTCAGGATAGCATGTCCATTTAAACATAATGCAGGAGGTCGATCAAAGTTTTTAGAAGAGAGTTGAGGCATGATCAATAAGACCAGCTGCACTCTTAGAAGATCATTGTTGACAATTAATTCATATATAATATTTGTGTGATAGCTTCTCAGAGGGTAGCAGCAATGCCCTGGCAGATCATTTATGCATTCAAGAGTGTTGACTTGATCTGAACATTTTAGCAGCTATAAACTGTAGAATGCTACAACAGATAGGTTTTCTTAGTTATTAATAAGGTTTTTCGGAGGCACCAAATGCTGTTCGTTTCAGCTGGTTCAAGCATCTACCACTAGGCTAAGTATGATCCAATGGATTATAATTTTAAGGTTTCGAAGATAAGATCCTAATTCATAATCTAGATCAGGAATTGATGAATAAAACGTTATTCCAAAAAGACATGGTTTAGTGGAATTATTGACTTCATTTTCCTGTCCCAGGGTTTTCAATATAGAGAGTTTTTCAAACCTAGAATGGAGTGACATGTGACATAGAATACGGTAATATGTGACATAGAATGACATTCGGCAAGTAACACTTAAATAACCCGATACACTTGCATACCTGGTCGTGGAGGGACTGTAATGATTCCAACATCAGTTGCATCTGAAAACAAAAAATTGATGAAATGAACTGTCGTGAGACTCTACGAGAGAGCATATTTCTTCTGGTTGTTGTGCAGGTGGATGGGATGTCCCAAAAGTACAAATATACACTTGGTCTAAAATACTGGATCAGAAAACAAACCAGTTTTTATTGGATGGTCAATCAACCCAAGACCAGACGTTTCGACAATGATTCTGGTGTAAATTTATTTCTTAAAACAAATTAGACACATTCTGGAATGGTTCTATATTTGATTCTGTAACCCATAACTGATTTTTATGTCTTAGAACAATTTTTACAGTCATTGGATGGTCAAATAATTGGTCGGTGAATCTCTGAATACTCACTGGATTTTATAAAATTTGGTCACATTCAGATACCGTCTGGGCATGCATGACCCGATATTACAGAATCCGGTCACCTGATGAACAGATTTTGCTTTCAAACCCTTCCCCTTTCCTTCATAAGTAGGGCGAAGGCATCCTAAGCGAAGCTCAAATCCAGAAATCCAGAGTTCATCAAGTAGAAAGTGGTGCAATTACCAAGGAAGACAATCCCATATACAAATGCTTGTCCAGTGGCATTAAGGATTTAAAACTACAAAGGACAAAGGAGATGCAGTTGACCTTTCTAGCTCTGACATGAGTTAGTGCAGCACGAAGTTGTGTCTCTAGTTGGACAAGGTCACTCAAGATCAGCTCTCCAGAACATGGAGCTTCAAGGTTCCTGCGGACAGAACAAACGTCAATACTTGTGCATTTTTAAGTTTGCATAAGGGGTAGGATACTTAAAGTTGAAAGAGATACCGTTGCACTTTTTGCAGTAGCTCCGCATATGAGTTCAGATTCGCATATTTACCATAGTGTACCTGCTTAGGAAACGGGAGATGCTTAGCAGTTACCTAGTTCCATACTACAAGGAATAAAAATTGAAAAATTAGGAGAAGAATATTGATTTCTCAAAAATCAAGCCATAAATCTATTTTTTTCAATCCCTTCTGCTGTTATGACAGTACTTTCACTCCCTTTTGCAAACGGAGTACCAATAATCGAAATGATAGAAGCACTGCATACCTCTGCATTATTAGCAACTTTAGATGAAGTAGCCATCTCTTCAAAATGACTCTTGTAACGCTTGAGGATGGTGTCTATACTGAATTGTAGAACAAGGAGATGAGCCTCGGTAACTAAAGTCAAATCTAGAAATAAATAATACAGGTACAATAAAATGTGCCTCTAGCAAGATGGCATGTTGTGTCAACATGGGAGTAAATTAACATCTCAAAATGATCAATCTGTAGGGGTAAGATAATGAACAAACAGAGTGATCTTTAGATTCTTTGTTTTGGTTTAAAATTTTTAGTTTGTTGCTAATTTCCGCAGAGTCGGAGAGAACTTTGTTTCTATTGAACCAATTGTTCATGGAGACTAGCTAATGCTTGTGTAATAAAGTATGTTGATTAGTTTTTATGCATATCGAGGTCTTGTACAATTTGAATTTTTTTTATTGACACTTTAAACTTTTTGTTCCTGTCTAATTTAAGAATTTTACTTTTATTTTATTGTTTCAAACCTTAGCTAATAATAGCTTACCACGTGTGCGTTCTAGCCACGCCACTAATTCAATCACCTAATTTGGGTTCATCATAACACGTTATAAGTTGTTATTGGCTCGAGCTTGTCACGTGTGTTTATGTGGTACATTAGAATCTAAAATAACAATAATACAAAAGTAGAATTTTTAAATCGGATAGAAAAAAACTTAGAATTTCAATTAAGTTTTTTTTTAATTATATAGTCTCGATAATTGCAAAATCCTATGTTAAATAAAAAATTCCGTTTCAAACCAGGAGGATTCCGGAAATGAATCTTAGGCAGACACTACAGGACAGACGGCAATCTTGACACTACACTGTCAGAACAATCATTAGGAGCATTATTATGTGCGGTTATAATCCATGAAATGAGAGGTCTAAGGGATGATCCAACTAATAATTCTCCTGGGCATATTGGCATGCAAAAATTTTTTTTGTTATAAAACATGAAGATTAACGAGATCATATCATATTTGTATAATAGAAAAACATTAATAGAGTAATATAATTTCTGGATGGTTTTATGTCATGGAGACAAACTTAAAACATGAAGATCAATGATAGCTTGTCATATGTACGATCTAGCTAATGACAGTTTGTCACGTCATCAATTCAATCATCTAATTTGGATTCACGATGACACGTGGTAAGTTGTCATTGGCTAGAGTTTGTCACGTATGTTTACGTGACACATTAAGATCCGAAACAACAAAATAAAAATAGAACTCTTAAATTAGATAGAAAAAAAACTTAGGATTTCAATTAAAAAAAATTCAATTATATAGAGTCTCCATGCTTGCAAAATCCTCTGGTCAATAAAAAATTCCGTTTCAAACCATGGTGATTAAGGAAATGAATCTTAGGCAGACACTACACAGACAGACGGGAATCTTGACACTACACTGTCAGAACAATCATTAGGAGCATTATTATGCGCGGTTATAATCCATGAATTGAGAGGTTTAAGGGATGATCCAACTAATAATTCTCCTGGGCATATTGGCATGCAAACATTTTTTTTGTTATAAAACATGAAGATCAACGAGATCATATCATATTTGTATAATAGAAAAACATTAATAGAGTAATATAATTTCTGGATGGTTTTATGTCATGGGGACAAACTTAAAAGCTTTGTCAGATCGAACCATGGTTTGATAGCTCCAAAAAATTATCTAAGCTATAAAACCCATTAAACCAATCTATCCAAACTACGTATAAGAGGCTCCAACAAGATGCATAGTGCTTGGATGGTTGATCAACTGAAGGAGAATATCATGTAGGCAATCATTCCATTAAAAGAAGTCTTTGTAGGAAAAAGTGCTACACGTAGGTAGAAATAAGATCCACCTTTTAACCAACAAAAGGCATCTTGCTCATTGGTAGAATGTGATGGAACCAGGGTTTTAAACACTTGATGATAGACTGCAATTGCGAGGAGATTTTTCCTAACATTTGAATCTTGTATTTTTTGATTTTTTTACTGATATTTTCTATTTTTTTTTTAACTTTGATTAAAATCTTTTATTTTTAAATTTTTTTTACTTCATACCTTTATTTATAACGCTCTTAATCGGTAACCAACACGTACCATTGTAAAAGAAAAAATATCAAAAAAAAAATCAATCATTAACTGATGACATTATAAAAAATCTAAAACAAAAAATTTTAAAAAATAAAAAATCTCAATCAAGCAAAAAAAAGTCTTCATAAAAATAAATTCAAACAATACAAAGTCCAAATTTGGAGAAAACCCTTATGAAAGAAATATATAATGTAACCAAGAGCAGTAACGTATAGTCAATGAACTAAAAGACTTGGGCAATTGTGCAATGAGCCTTGCCCAAGTTCGGTATAATAATATTATTGTATTAAAAATATAATAGTTAATCGCAAATTTATAAGTAGTTAATTTCTACTTTTTGTTTATGAAAACTTTAAATTAAACATTATGAAAGAATGTTAAGGTAATGTAATCATTGATTTTTTTTTAAAGTCCTTTTATTTGTAGATAGTAGCAGATTTGTATCAGGTTAGATTACTAAAAAATAGTTCTCCAAAAAAGGAAAATAAAAAGTAGAAATTAAAAATAAAAGATTGAATTAGCGAAAATGACATGACATATCATTTCACCTGTAAGTTTATTAAAAAATTTCTTGTTTTAGTAAATTGTTCAATAACACTCAAAGTCAGTTCAATTAGGACCAATGGTTAATTGCCATCTAATATGACTGACACGGAAAAACAAATAATTCTATACGCATGATGAAAATTTAATGCACATATCAGAAGAACGATGCCGTGTAAATTTAATTTTACAACTTAAAGACCTATGCATGTGAAAAGATTCTTCTATTATCATATAAATTCAAGTTGTATGGTGATTTGATTAAAGTTTGGTAGGATTTCTAATTGTTTTCGCAGATATATTGAGGTATGAAATTTAAGATAAATGTTACCATATCTCATGATGTAAGAAATAATGTGCCTCGTCGATTCTTTTAGGCTAAGTTTAGGGTGCAATATTTGTGGTTAACACTCCTGAAAATTTATTTTTAGAATATCCAAAACTATACGATAGAAAGTGCCCCTTAGCTACGTTCGAAAAAGATTAGCCTCAAAATATGCGAAAACTAGCTCCAACACATCCTTATTATTACAAAAAATAAAACTAAACTAAAACATTAGTTACTATTCACTATACTAGTTGAAACACTTTTCACTTAGACTCATTAGTACTATTCACCTAGACTTATTTGCATTATTCACTAAAATTCAAATGCACTATTCCTTTCACTAAACGAGTGACAATTTTTATAGTTTTCAAATACTTTTAAGATATTTATTTTCAGAAAGTGACATTTTTAAGTTTTCAAACACTTGTAGACTAGGTTTAGGGTTCAATACTTGTGGTCAACACTACTGAAAATTTATTTTCGGAATACCTAAAGCCATACGTTAGAAGTGCCCCTTAGCTACGCTCGGAAAAAGATTAGTCTCAAAATATGCAAAAGCTAGCTCCAACACATCCTTAATAAAAATAAAAAAAAACATTGGTTACTATTCACTATACTATTTGAAATACTATTCACTTAGACTCATTCGTACTATTCACCTAGACTTATTCGCATTATTCACCCATACTCAAATGCACTATTCCTTTCACTATATAGTGACATTTTTATAGTTTTTAAATATTTTTAAGATATTTATTTTCAAAAAGTGACATTTTTAAGTTTTCAAACACTTGAAGACTAGGTTTAGGGTTCAATACTTGTGGTCAACACTCCCGAAAATTTATTTTCGAGTATCCAAAGTCATACGTTAAAAAATGCCCCTTAGCTACGCTCGGAAAAAGATTAGTCTCAAAATATGCAAAAGCTAGCTCTAACACATCCTTACTATTACAAATATATATATATATATATATTGGTTACTATTTATTATACTATTTGAAATACTCGTTCACTTAGACTCATTCGCACATTTCATCCGGACTTATTTGCACTATTCACCCGGACTCAAATGCACTATTCTTTTCACTATATAATAACATTTTTATAGTTTTTAAATATTTTCAAGATATTTATTTTCGGAAAGTGACATTTTTAATTTTTCAAACACTTGTAGACTTGGTTTAGGGTTCAATACTTGTGGTCAACACTCTTGAAATTTTATTTTCGAATACTCAAAGCCATATATTAGAAAGTGCCCCTTAGCTACGCTCGGAAAAAGATTAGTCTCAAAATATGCGAAAGCTAGCTCCAACACATCCTTACTATTATAAAAAAAAACTAAACTAAAACATCGATTACTATTCACTATACTATTTGAAATACTCGTTCGTTTGGACTCATTCGCATTAATCACCCGGACTTATTCGCACTATTCAATCATCACACTATTCACTCAAACTCAAATGCATTATTCATTTCACTATATAATGACATTTTTATAGTTTTCAAACATTTTTAAGATATTTGTTTTCGGAAAGTGACATTTTTAATTTTTCAAACACTTGTAGACTAGGTTTAGGGTTCAATACTTGTGGTCAACACTCCTAAAAATTTATTTTCGAATACCCAAAGCCATACGTTAGAAAATGCCCCTTAGCTACCTTCGGAAAAAGATTAGTCTCAAAATATGCGGAAGCTAGCTCCAATACATCCTTACTATTACAAAAAACTAAACTAAAACATTGATTACTATTCACTATACTATTTGAAAAACTCGTTTAGTTAGACTCATTCGTACTATTCACCTAAACTTAAATGCACTATTTCTTTCACTATATAGTGATATTTTTGTAGTTTTCAAACATTTTTAAGATATTTATTTTCACAAAGTGACATTTTTAAGTTTTCAAACACTTCTACGCTAGGTTTAGGGTTCAATACTTATAGTCGGCACTTCGAAAATTTATTTTCGAATACCCAACGTCATAGGTTAGAAAGTGCCCCTCGCCTACGCTCGAAAAAGATTAGTCTCAAAATATGCGAAAGCTAACTCCAACAC